GGGGGGGGGGGAGCGGGCACCAGACTTCTTTCGCCCACATCTCGCCTCTGCCATGGAAGGGCTGCCCGTGGCTCCCCGAGGCTGGGCAGCAAGGCCAACCCACGGGGAGCCCACACTGCTCACCTCTGGAAAGAGAAAAGAGGCCGTGAGCCCAGCCAGGGATAGGGGACAGGCGGGAATAAGGCCAGAGACCCTGGGCACCCCTGGTATGGCTGGAGGATGCCCACTCCCAGCACATGCGGGCACCGGCTCTGCCTCCCACCCACCGTCCCCTGGAGTCAAGCTGGGGGCCAAGATAGGACACTTCTGGGAGTTACCTGGCGGCTGAAGAGTCTCTGCAGCAGTCCTTTCTTGGGGGGTGCAGGTGGCTGGCCCTTCCAGTCCAGGTCTGGGGGAACTGAGCCATCTAGCCCAAAGACATTCAGCTCCTGGAAGCACTCGGTCTCCACCATCTGCCAAAGAACAGGGAGCTGTGAGAGCTGCCTCCAGGGCTGCTCCTTGGGGCCTCATCCTACCAGCTAGGCAGGCCCTTACCTCATTCTGCCAGGGGATGGGCACGCTGCCCGTGGCAAACTTCTGGTAGAAGTCTTGGTCAGTGGGCTCCAGCTCCACACCCTTAACTGTGGAGAACTGTTCGATGTCCAGAACATCCTTGCAGTAAATGGCCTGGGGCTGGTGGGGACAGAAGTAGCAGTCAGGAACTGCTACACATGTACGCACACATGCACACCTGCCCACCTACATGCATATGGGCAGCTCAGCCCTGAAAATCACTCCAGCCCTGGCCTGGTTATGCCTGGACCCTTGCAGCCCTCTCTGGTTTGGAGTCAGAAACTAGATACTCCATGCCCTTCCGAAGTATGGCAGTCCCTTCTCTTTGAGGCCATTTCCCTCTATAAACTAGGAATCATTACTCCTCACTGCTTTCAACTGATAAGGCTGTGTAAAAGCCATGCCTTTTCCAGTTGATGGTAGCTGACCTGCTGCAGCCAACCGGCCCCCACAGTGCCTTGGGGAATCAGCGACAGGTACCCCCCCACCTGTACACGGCTGTCTGGTGGTACACCTGGTGACGTGTGTGCAGGCAGAATCTTAGCTGGTCCTTTCAGCTGAGCGTCCCCATGCAGGACCTGGAGCTATCGATAGGCCCTCTGTCCCACGATGTCCAATGGCCTGCTCCATCCCCTCAAACTTCATGGCCAACCAGAGGATTAGAACAGTCTTCCCAACTCCCCACACCCCTGGGGCTCCTGCTGGGAGCTCACCTCACTCCAGAAGGCCACTGTCTTTTTCATCTTTATATTATTTTCTAAGTCCTATTATTAAGAATGTCAATTAAGGGGTGCCTGGGTGGCTCAGTTGGTTGAGTGTCAGACTTCGGCTCAGGTCATGATCTCACGGTTTGTGGGCTTGAGCCCCGTGTCGGGCTCTGTGCTGACAGCTCAGAGCCTGGAGCCTGCTTCGGATTCTGTGTCTCCCTCTCTCTCTGTCTCTCCCCTGCTCATGCTCTGTCTCTCTCTCTCTCAAAAATAAACATTCAAAAAAAAATTTTTTTTTTAAAAGAATGTCAATTGAAACAACATAATGTGGGGCACCTGGGCAGCTCAGTTGGTTAAGCATCTGACTTCAGCTCAGGTCATGGTCTCACCATTGGTGAGCTCGAGCCCCGCCTCAAACTCTGTGCTGATAGTGCGGAGCCTATGTGGGATTCTCTCTTTCCCCCTCTCTCTCTGCCCCTCACTCACTCACACCCTCTCTCTCTCAAAAATAAATAAATAAAAACAAACAAAACAAACAAAAAACCCAACAACATCATAATGTAAAATGGTGCAGCTGCTTTAGAAAACAATCTGGCAGTTCCCCAAAAGGTTAAATGTAATGTTATCATATTAGCCAGCGATTCCACTCCTAAGTATATATCAAAGAGAAATGAAAACAAACATCCTCACCAAAACTTGCATGTGAATGTTCATAGCAAAATTATTCATAATAGCCCAAAGTGGAAATAACCCTAATGCCCATCAACTGATGAATAAACAAGATATGGCCTACTCATAGAATGGAATGTTATTCAGTGGTAAAAAAGGAACAAAACTACTGATACAGGCTACATCACCTGTATGAACCTTGAAAATATGCTAAATGAAAGAAGTCAGTCACCAAGGACCACATATCATATAACACTATTTGCATGAAATTTCCACAACAGGTAAATATGTAGAGACAGAAAATAGATTAGTGGTTGCCAGGGCCACAGGGAGAGGAAAATGGGGAATGACTGCTAGTAGGCATGGGGTTTTTGTTGGGTGGGGGCGGGGCGGGGGG